TAGACGGGCCCGTTCACTTTCATTTTTGAATGTGAATTGATTATATATTTATAAAGATATTAAACTCTTTTGTCTGGTGGTACTTTTCCCGTAAAGATATTTTTGCTAGGAGTAAGGGAATTCCCATAAAATTCTTTCAGTGACTCATTGCGTCAGAAAATCCCTAATTCCGTTCACGTCTCGTATCGGTTATGCTTAAAGACGGCGAGGTTGTCGGAAGTATCCCTAATATAGCATTTCTGCATTTATATGTAATTTAAATAGTAAAATTCCATTATTTTTCTAAAAATCATGAACTTATATTTTCAGATTTAAAGCTGGGAGCTTATTTTTTACTTTTTAATTAAAACAATTATTATTACTCAGGCTGAAAATTAACCAGACCATAATCAAAAAGTAGAAATTTGATTTGCAATATTTATCTGGTAAACGTGGCAACGTTGCATTTATTTCTAGAAGTGTGTGTAGACAACACTATTTAGAAGTACTTACAACGTTGTCACGTTTACCAGATACATTTTCTCAAATAAAATTTGGATCTGGTAATATTCAGCTTGAGTAATACTAATTGTTTTTATTAAAATTTAAAAAAGGTAAGCCTTCCAGCTTTATCTGAAAATATAAACACATTATTTTTAAAAAATAATATTTTTTTATCATTTAAATTTCTTTAATAAATGCAGAAGAGGAATGGTGGTGCAATGATACATCCGACAACCGCGCCCTTTTAACTATTAACCGATACAACACCTGAAGGGAATTAGGGGTTTTCTGACGCAATGAGTCACTGAAAGAATTTTATGGGAATTCCCTTACTTCTAGCAAAAATATTTTAACGGGAAAAGTACCACCAGACAAAAGAGTTTAATATCTTTATAAATATATAAATAATTCACATTCAAAAATGAAAGTGAACGGGCCCAATTTAAGTTTTTACTTAAATTCGTTCAAGTATGGTGGTGTTAAAAGAGACTTTGGTTTGTAGGGTTTATTTTATACTAGGAAAAAACTTTTATGTGGTTTCAAATATAAAAGAGGAAGTGAGGTTACGTTTCACTCGTTAAATATTATTTCTTACCGAAGAACATGGGCGCCGTTTTAGGAGAAACAAGGAAAATAAAATATAAATATTAAAAAAAATAAAATTGTTATTATAGTGTTCTAAAATACGAATTAGAAGAAACTTATGGTTAGAGGCACTTGAATGGACTGAAATGTTAGAAGTTAAACGAATATATTACATTTGTTCAAGGCACTTTTTAGAGGACGGCTTTGTTGCAACAAATATATTTATACGTTTGTACATTTCTAAATAATATCGAGCACTTTTAAAAACTGTATCTTTACTTTTTAGGAACTTTTTATTACACAATAAAAGCAGGAAAAACAGAGTCGTGGTGAACTATGTCACCTAAAAAAAATAGAAGGTATTATGTTTAATAAATTTGGCGAATCAATTATATGTTTGAATGTATTTAGTATAGTAATGTTTACAGATACTAAATTATTTGATTATAGGCATTCTTTAAGTGAATTAAATAAAAGAAGTCATAATTTGAACAAAAGTACCTCATACACTTCAATATTAAGTTCAAGGTATGACTTTGAAACTCTCATCAACAAAATTTGAATATATGAATACTTATTTCAGAAAACCTACATATTTTGGTAACTTTCCATTAAAGTTTCTAGAAAATCGGTCATTACGAAGACTTTTTTGTTGCCAACAGTACTGCTTCAAACTTATGAAACAAAAATAAAACATAACAGGCAAAATTAAGATGAGTGAAAAAGTATATGTAATATCAAAAAAATTGTGCAAAATTGCCGATTTGAAAACAAAAAAAATTTGTTTTTGGACGCATACTGTATATTTGTACATAGTCTAAAATATAAACTATCATCAGTAATATAAGAATATTTAATTACCTAATTTATATAAATAAACTAGATAATTTATATTTTAAAGGAAGTCATTAGAAAAGTAAATAAAATTCTTATATATTTTTTTAATATCCTGAAATACTTTTACTTATGCTGAATAGTAAATATATATTGGTTTGTTTTATTCTTATTAGGTACATTTTCTCATGTTTAAATTAAATGCTTTTTGTATTTCTTCAGTTCTACCATTGTATAGGTTTTCAATAGGTATAGATATTTTATAGAATTCCAAATCCTTGCTGTAAAACATAAAAATAAAAGGAGGTTATCAATTCGTCGCGATATTTTTTTTTTATGTATGTTCAGCAATTATTCTTTACCACGGTGTCCGATTTCAATGATTCTTTTTTTGTTAGAAAGAGGGTACTTCAGGGGTGGTCCCATATATATTTGGTCAAAATCTAATAATTGGGCCAATGAGAAAATCCTCAAACTCTTCATTTTTTATGTATGTTTAGCGATAATTTCTTAATACTGTGTCCGATTTCAATGATTCTTTTTTTGTTAGAAAGAGGGTACTTCAGTGGTGGTCCCATATACATTTGGTCAAAATCTAATTATTGGGTCCATAAGAAAATCCTCAAACTCTTCATTTTTTATGTATGTTCAGCGATAATTCTTTAACACTGTGTCCGATTTCAATGATTCTTTTTTTGTTAGAAAGGGGGTACTTCAGGGGTAGTCCCATATAAATTTGGTCAAAATCTAATAACTGGGTCCATGAGAAATTCATCAAACTCTTCATTTTTCATGTATGTTTAGCGATAATGCTTTACGACCTTGTCCTATTTATATGATTCTCTTTTTTGTTAGTAATGGGGTACCTCAGGAATGGCCACATATAAATTTGGATAAGATATGCTGACGGCATTTGAAGTCGGTTTTTTTAAATTTTTAATTTAGATCACTTGTTTATTTTCTTATCTATTTGCAGTCACTATTTATACATTTAATGCAATCCATTTACGTACGCTACTGCTGAAGGTTCTAATATGAGCGAGAAAGCCTGCATTAGATAAAGAAACAATGATTTTATTAGAGCGATATCAACATTGTATAGATTTATGAAGGAGTAGCCTATCTGTACATATATTATCTAAGCAGTGAATAGAAATTTGAGAAAGGCTCGACTCGACCAATAGGGGACGCTAAAATTAAGGTGTTATAATTAATTGAGTCGACAGATTCTCATCGTGCAGCGTTGCCACGCATAAAATATTTTTTTGACACTCGGTTCCAGCATATTTGCTCGAAGGGTACTATGCGTTTAACGTACACAGTCGTTTAGCTGTAATAGAATTGATCGCACCATTTTATTTTTGCAGTATGACAACTGTGTTTTCTAAGCTGAACGTCGGCGGTGTCTTTGTAAATTATACAGGGTGTTTCAAAAAGATTGGTCATAAAATATACCACATATTCTTGAGTCAAAAATAGGTCGATTAAACCGTACTTACCTATATACAAAAGTGCACCCAAAAATAGTTACAGGGTGTATAAAATAAAAATTTAAATGAATTTTTTAAACGTTGCTCTTAAACCGTTTGGCATTTTTTCATGACATTTTATAGGACGTGTTAGAATACCATGACTAATAATACCGAGGAAGAGGCAATATTTTTTTCATGATTTTGATAGGTTTTTGGAGGGGATCACCGCTCTTTTCTCCACTCAACTTTTTTGTAGTATAAAATTTAATTACAAATGAAGCGCCACTGGAATGCAACATCCATTTGGAAACTTTTTTTGTCTCTTAATATTTGTTTGTAAAAAATTTAGTTTAGACGATACAGCCATTTAAAATGACAACTTAAAAATATTCAATGGAAATTCTACGTATGAAAAATATCAAAATCAAGTTTATTTTTAAATTACAAACTAATTAAGTGTAAAGGGTTAAAGAAAAGGTCCTTTATTTCTCACAAGTCAATGTCATTGACTTGTGAGAAATAAAGGACCTTTTCTTTAACCCCTTACACTTAATCCCTACTACTCACATATGGCTACCCTCCGTCCAAAATTACAAACGAATGTCACCAAATAAAAAAAAATAATTTAACAGGTGTTTAAAATTACATTCTCCTCCTGTATACACTTACTACATAGTTTTAATAGTGAAAATAGAATTTTGATATTTTTGTATACGTATAATTTACATTGAATATTTTTAAGATGTCATTTTAAGTGGCTGTATCGTCTAAACTAAATTTTTTACAAACAAATATTAAGAGACAAAAAAGTTTCCAAATGGATGTTGCATTCCAGTGGTGGTCGATTTTTAATAAAATTTTATATTACAAAGAAGTTAAGTAGAGAAAATGGTGGTGACACCCTCCAAAATCCTACAAAAATAAAAAAAAATTATATTGCCTCTACCTCGATTTTGTTAGTCATGGTATTCTACACGTCATATAAAATTTCATGAAAAAATGTCAAACGGTTTAAGAGCAACGTTAAAAAAATTCATTTAAATTTTTATCTTATACACCCTGTAACTATTTTTGGGTGCACTTTTGTATATAGGTAAGTACGGTTTAATCGACCTAGTTTTGACCCAAGAATATGTGGTATAATTTAGGACCAATCTTTTTGAAACACCCTGTATATAGAGATATATTAATAATACTGATATTTAATTGTGGAATAGTAAAATTTATCTGTGCCGTCTACAATTGCCGCGTTTGAGAATCCACATCGGATGCATTTTTTACATCTCGAGCGTTTTTTTATCCACATCGGACACATCTGTCCCATTACATTTACGTATACTGAATCACGTGATCAAAGATCTTTTACATCTCAGATGCATCCGATGTGGATTCTCAAACGCGGCATATGTAGTTGTAAAGATATTCTCTCTTTCGGCCCAACAAAGGGGCTTGTATAAAAACAGGTTCAACGGTAACCCAGCGACGGGCCTAATTAGTTGTATGTTACCACAGCTTATTCACTACCAGCTAGTCATCTCGCCATAAAACGGAACGTTGGATCGCTGGAGTTGGGACGGCTGCGCATATTGGGTGGCGTCATTACCAGCTGTCTGAGCTTCACTTGCCGCTAGAAAGTGGTAGTGTAGAGAACAGGGGTACAGGAGCGAACTTAGTGTGTTTTATCGTGTTGTGTGTAAATAGTATATTTTCGAGGTTACATTGCGATAATGCGTATTTTCAATCGTTGTGCGGCGCTAAAGTGCAGGAACAATACGAACAACTGTAGTTTAAGTTTTTTTAGATTTCCGACGGATATAAACAGGTAAGTAGGTATCAGCAAATTGCTTTCGTCTATTTATTTAACCATTAGGCTCTCTGCCCACTACAGCGTACCATACCATGACCATAACAGGAACGTGTCAGGCACGAAAGAAAGTACTCCGGTCACTACTGGGCCCACTGCAGCGAATCAACAGCGTTTTATCCTCACATACAACATAGCTTGCCATGGACGGTGCATGTCGGTACCTGCAAAATATTCTCGCCATGAAATTGTTGACGGTCCTGTCATGGCACGCTACGAGGTTGGCCGGTGACGGAACGGTCTAATGGGCGTTGTCGAATATTAAAACATGCAAAGAATATTTGTTTATATGTGTGTCGATACGGTTACGGTCCTAGTATGGTAAGGTGTAATGAGCAGAGACCTTTAACGTATACATGTATGTACCTATCATTTTACACTTAGCACTCCGTCGTAAGATTTGTTTTACTTACTGTAGATTTCCTAATTTTGTACACCTGCCTATACAGAGTGGAAAGTTTAACTGGAACAAATTATGTAACTTAATATACAGGTTTGTCCTAAAATTCCTGGAACATGTCAATTTTTATTTTCTAGTTCTAGTTTAGTTTACTATATTGTTAGAAATCAGCTGGCGAGCAATTAAAAATTGTTCAATATTTCTTGTTTATATCTCGATTCTTATTATGAAAGCCGCTACCGGTCAAAAAGAATATCAATTGACGACGTATAGGTGTTTCCGTTTTAGAGTGGTCCTCGCTGTCAAAATCGGAACCACTCGATTTCGATTTAAAAACTTTGACGTCATATAGCCACCGCAACCGCCCGCAACATGCACGGAACATGAACCAAACGAAACCGGCCTTCACAGGTGGTTCGAAGAGCTGGTATATATTCATCTTTATCGCACATTATAGTGCTATCCTTTATTTATCCTCTAATTCGATTTCGAATTTCAGGTGTCAAAATTTAATGATCTGTGCTGTGGTCAAATCAAAATAATTATGAATGATTATAAGGTTTTTTACAAGTATTTAAACCTTTTGGATTTTTAGCAATAATGCTGAATAATTGTATACTCATTACGATTAAAAATTGTAACCATTATAATGTCTTTATTAAACATCTCAGTAGAAATATTATTCAAACCTTTTGTTAATTATTAGTCTTTTTAAATAGTAAAGTTAAATATATTTTTATGATTTATTCTGGTTGCTAGAACGGCACAATATGTATAGTCACTAGTTTTTATTATCTGATTGGTTAATTTTTTTTTAAAAAGTAGATGTTTCAAATTTATATATCGTACAGAACCACGTGAAAAACAAAATCTATTTTTGTCTAGCAAACGAATAGAATCAGCTGTAAGCCATAAGCTGTAAGCCATAAGCCGTAAGCCATATGACATAAGCCATAAGACATAAAAAACCAGCCATATCGTCACAAGCCGTAAATCTACACAACAGCTGTAATCAGAACGTTGGTTTTCGAGGATCTTATAAAAACTCGTTGATTTGGACAAGCGACAGCTGTATTTCGAAGGCGTTGGTTTCCGAAGGAAGAAATCTCGACTACCTATGGCTAATTAAGGATGGTTAGCTAACAATGTAAAAAGTGGTAAATACTAGTGACTAGTTATTTATGTACGAATCACAATTTGATACTGGTTTACTGTAAATAATTGTTTTCGAAAAGATTTCTTTTTTTAATAAAATCATTGATTTTTATAAGTATATATGTTGAATCTTATTTTTTAAAGGTCACAAAAATTCTCTTTCATCCACTAAATTCTGTATAATTTTTATTAACTTCTTTTAATTGATAAAGCTAGAATTTATAATTCTCACTAGCTTTTAAAAATAAAAAAGAGAATTATTGGTGCCCAACATTTCCTAGAAAGATTACTACCCTTAAAATTGTCTATTTGAAAAGCCGAATTCACGACAGAGAAAAAGAAGTGCTCATTTATTTTTGTTTAATTTTTAAAGGTAAGTAACGTTTGATCATAAATTTCACTGAGCTAGTAAAAATCTCTATAAGTGTTTTAAAATTAACATTTATCAAAAAGGTAACAAATAATAATGCAAATTGTAGCCTAACGGGTCAAGGGCATATTTCAAATTAATTTGCAATATACCCTTGACCCGTTAGGCTACAATTTGCATTATTATTTGTTACCTTTTTGATAAATGTTAATTTTAAAACACTTATAGAGATTTTTACTAGCTCAGTGAAATTTATTATCAAACGTTACTTACCTTTAGAAATTAAACAAAAATAAATGAGCACTTCTTTTTCTCTGTCGTGAATTCGGCTTTTCAAATAGACAATTTTAAGGGTAGTAATCTTTCTAGGAAATGTTGGGCACCAATAATTCTCTTTTTTATTTTTAAAAGCTAGTGAGAATTATAAATTCTAGCTTTATCAATTAAAAGAAGTTAATAAAAATTATACAGAATTTAGTGGATGAAAGAGAATTTTTGTGACCTTTAAAAAATAAGATTCAATATATATACTTATAAAAATCAATGATTTTATTAAAAAAAGAAATCTTTTCGAAAACAATTATTTACAGTAAACCAGTATCAAATTGTGATTCGTACATAAATAACTAGTCACTAGTATTTACCACTTTTTACATTGTTAGCTAACCATCCTTAATTAGCCATAGGTAGTCGAGATTTCTTCCTTCGGAAACCAACGCCTTCGAAATACAGCTGTCGCTTGTCCAAATCAACGAGTTTTTATAAGATCCTCGAAAACCAACGTTCTGATTACAGCTGTTGTGTAGATTTACGGCTTGTGACGATATGGCTGGTTTTTTATGTCTTATGGCTTATGTCATATGGCTTACGGCTTATGGCTTACAGCTTATGGCTTACAGCTTATGGCTTACAGCTTATGGCTTACAGCTGATTCTATTCGTTTGCTAGACAAAAATAGATTTTGTTTTTCACGTGGTTCTGTACGATATATAAATTTGAAACATCTACTTTTTAAAAAAAAATGAACCAATCAGATAATAAAAACTAGTGACTATACATATTGTGCCGTTCTAGCAACCAGAATGAATCATAAAAATATATTTAACTTTACTATTTAAAAAGACTAATAATTAACAAAAGGTTTGAATAATATTTCTACTGAGATGTTTAATAAAGACATTATATACTTTTTTTTGCTTACCACTTGAACAGCCGATATACCACCAAAACAATTGAAAGGTAACGATAAAATGAAATTTACGAATCTAATTTGAGATAGTTTGGTTAGTGGCACTCCCACTTCAAGAAATTTCCCTTTCTTCAGAATATTGTGTGTTGGCGATAATTAAATTATACCGGATGGCACACATTTAAAATAACATTTTATAATTAGACTTTTAAAATGTTACACCATCTGTTCTGTAATGTTTAAAGTAATCATAGGTCTCCCATTGAGAGGGACAAAGACCCTCATTTATGACAATTACCCCCCTTTGATACATTAAATACATAAGAAAAAATATCTATGTTTAACGGAGGTGGCACAGGAAATCAATGGCTTAATATCATTATAGAAAAAAACTTAAAGAATACATTGCTTAGTATAAGAAATTATTTGAGAAGTTTGTTGGAATCTGGGGATATATATCAACAATGGTTTTCTTGTCAAGTAAAACTGTTTTATGGAGACAAATAATATTTGGAGCATTGGAGTGCACAATTTCATGTTGTTGAGGACTTTAAATGGATTCTTCTAAGTAGGATTATTCATTGGAGTGAAGTTCAAAAAACTTTTGAAACCATTTCTATTAACATACCAGAAATTGACATAATCGAAGATAAGTTGTTTGATGAAATGATCTATGTAAAAAAAGATGTTACTGAAAAGCTTTTTGAATGGTCTGAAATCAAATGGTTGGAAATTTTAATTCACTTTTCACAAGATAATATTAAGTAATATTTCTTTTGACAATTTAAAAAAAAAAACTTGAATTTGTGTCTTCCTGGAACCAATGCAGTAACACAAATATCAAAGTCATTTTGATGGTGAAATTCAATATAAATAAAACTTGCCAAGAGTTCTATGACAACAGAGATTTCTCGAAAAAAGTTCATAAATTTGAGAAGTATCTGTAATATCAAAAATATTTTTTAAGTTCATACGTTTTTTAAAATGTTTAAATAAAAGTATTTTCAAAATTGCATTTTAAATTTTTCCATTTCCTCTTGAAAAAATCTGGTCACTTTTGTCAAGTTAAAAATTTCAGTTTTATCGTTTTTTAGATACATAACTTAAAGTAGGTCCAAATAAAAGATAATAAAATTAAGATGGAAACTGTGAGGTTTACAATTAATATTGCGACTTATTTTGAGACAAGTATAGACAATGCATACCATAATAGGGACGTGCTGTGAAAATACAGTAAATAAGTTAATTATTATATTGGGAACAATATCAGGTGACGAAGAACAAATGTATTCATGACAAAAACTTACAAAGTTGTGCAGTTAACTATAAATTAGATACAAATTAACAGTTACAGAATTGTACCTGGAACCTGGACAATGGAAATAAACAGATAATTTTTAAAGTTTCTTTTATTATATTAAATTATAAAAGTAGATTAGATTAGATGATTAGATTAGGAGTTGGACGTTAGTTGTCCTTGTCCACCGCGACCTTTTCAGATCTATTGTGGGACTCCGTTTGTTTTAGAGTATGTCGTCTAGCCTGGTCTTTCTTATTAGACTTAGTAGCTTTGACAGTGGCTCTCGCATGTAGTTGCATGCAATTGGCTTTTCTTCGCCCAATGTTAGAAACATCATTCCAGCCAAGCCTTCAAATTGGCACAGGACGTGGAATGATGTTTCCTCTTCTTCTTCACAGAACCTGCACAAAGTTGCTTCTTCTGCTGGATTTATGACACTCATGTGCCTTTTGAGGCGACAGTGTCCAGTAAGAAGGCCTACTGTTATCCTAACCATTTTACGTTTTTGATCCAGTAGGTCTTTCGTAAACTTGGCCGATGGTTCCTTGATGAACTGTTTGGCCTGTCGCAGTCTTGGATAGTTGTTCCACCATTCCTGAGACTCTTTTTGCATCCATTGTTTAACGGATGCCTTGCACAATGCCTTAGCAACTCCACAGAAGGGTTCGGGGCCTGTCATGGCCTTATCTGAACCTTCTCGGGCTAATTCGTCGGCCTTTTCGTTATAAAAGTATATCAACTAATTTATTTAAAAGGATATTTTCAGCCAGTCTATGGTAAAATGAGACCGAGGCTGTTGAATGATCGGTGATGGATAACATGTATGTGTTCAAAATGTTCACCACCCTCCTTTTCATATTTTTAAACAGTTTCTCCTCATTTATATTTTGTATTTAATTTAAGTACATAACATCATGCGAACGATTTTGAATTCAACCATCCACCACATTCCATACTTTTACAAAATCATTTCTTATGGCCAGTTCCTACCAACATACCTAAAACAATGATGTTTAGAGTTTAACTTGTAGGAGAATCATTTTTTAACAGACTCTAAAAAAAGGATTAGAGGTTCTCAATTCGTCAGAATATTTTTTTATGTATGTTCAATAATAATTATTTATCACATTGTCCGATTTCTACAATTTTTTCTCTGTTAGAAAGGGGGTACCTCAAGGGTGGTCCTTTTTAAATTTGGTCCAAGATCTGATGAGATCCATAAAAAAACAGCATTCTTCATTTTTGGAATCTGTTTTTTAAATTTACTTTTATAACTTATATTATTCACTGATGTATTGGGAATTTGTACCTTGGAAATTTACACTATGTGAATTTGCACATCTTCAACAGCTTCTGATATTATTGGAGGCTTTCCAAAGGTCTTTCCTTTACAAAACGTTAAACAAGTATTTGTTTATGAGGACTAAAGTAACACTTCTTCCTTTTGAAATCTGAAGTATGTATTTTTAACTGTGCTTTAAAAAGTGACTTCTGTTTTTATTTTGTCCTTCATGTTTTTCTAAGAGTGTTATGTTAATTTAAAATAACAACAAACTGTCAATACAAATTCGCAACCAACTATTTTCGATTTAAATTTTGTTAAATGTCATAGATTACGTCACAAATTACAACCGCTGTCAAATTTCAGTAGGACCGCTGTCATTTATTCCAGGCTTATGTGATAATGGGATATTGGCATTTCGTCTTCCCAAGATCTGCGGGGTCAGGAAAAAGGTTTTCTTGTTTCGATGGACCGCATGAAAATAAAAAGATACGTCGTCAGATACTGATATTCTCCGTGCTCAGATAAATATGCCACTTTCAGTGTGTTGAATATTATTGTATTCAAATTAAATTAAATGTTATTGAACGTTAATGTATGTAATTTTATTTTAAATTTCTAACAATATATTATACACCGAAATTGTAAATAAATTATTGTATAGGTACAGGTACCGCTGAAGGTGTTTAAAATTTATCTTATTTTTGCAGAGGGAGAATTTGGTTGATAGCGTGTAGTAGAAATGACCTTATGCAAGATGTCGCTAAATTGCATACTCTGTCACACAGATTATGTGCCATTCATTTTGAACAAACTATGTTTGCAAATAAGCAGCGTAATAGGTTGTTGAAACATGCAGTGCCTCGAATATTTCCTGCTTTAGAAGGTGGTAGTTCAAGTATTGCACCTACATCCCAACTTCGCTGTGAAACCAGTGAATTCCTAGGTAATAATACCGACTTTAATCAATATTTAGAAATTGTTTGAGTGTGAACACAATTTTGCACAAAACTAATTTGGCAAAACTATATTTTTACACGTTCGTTTTAATTTTCAGCTGATGTTTCTCAAGAATTGCAAGCATTGGAACCTCAACACAGCAGACATGTAGTGGACATACAAACACTAACTTCTCCAAACACAAGGATGACGCAGACCAGCGCTTCTTTGTCAGCTAACTCACCTCGCAAACGCAAATTGAGAACAACGTTAAAGAGGCTTCGGGATGAAAATTATCGCCTGAAGAAGAGACTGAAGATTCTACAAGATAGAAAAACTGACTCCTATCTCGATAAAGTTACTTTGTCCGATTATAAGCAGCTAACTAACAAATTTTGTCGGTCCAAAGATATAGCGGATTTTATAAATAAACAAGTAGGAGAAATGGTTAAGAAACCGAAAGGCAGACGATTCACTAGTGAATAAGCTGTGATATTACGCTTTAAAGTAGAAATATTATACATATTTAAATATTATCACATTATTCGCATAATTTCCTCCGTCGATTATTTAATAAATATCACTAAATTTAATTTTGAAGGCAACAGTTACGAAATAGTCACGATTTGTAATCAAAATCGCCATGAAACTCTATTATTTTATGTACTATTATATTTAATTGAAGTAGGAAGTTACGAAAAATGCTTGAACAACTGTTGTTTGTTATCTCTTAATTTAAATTAAATTACTGTGGAGGAAAACAGGAATAATACCATGTTCCTTTCCAAAATAACGTGAACCAACACCGTGGTTACGTTTAGTAACGTAAAAATATAACCAAAATGGAAAATCAAATCTTATCAGAACTATCATCTTTACTTGACGTGTCATTCAGGTTTATAACGCAAGAATGAGCCGGAAATAATCGATGGTTATTTTCAATTTTGGTAACACGGAAAAAGCAATTGGAGCATAATCTTGAGATATACCTCTAACAACTTCTCTGTTAACATCTAAAACGGTTTCAGACAACTCAGGATTAACTGTTTTCTGGCCTCCCTTTTGATGTTATTCCAAATTAATTCGATGATAAACTTATTACGGTATGAACGAATGCCGTATCCATTTAATTCACAACATAGCTTGAGATTTAGGCCTTTTAATATTACAAAAAATCTTTTTTTAAGCTATAGGGACCGTGCGTGAAATATAGAGGCAGCACTACTGCCGAAGTTAGCCCTCTCTAGTGTTTAATTTTAGAATTAAATGGGGTAAACATTGCAAGTAAATAATAAAGGATATTTTTTAAAATATTAAATATAGTTAAATATAGATACCGGTCCGTACCAAACAATCGAGTACATGGTCAAAATGATATAAAATGTAAAACATTATTAAAATCTGGACATGCATATACATTTTAAGCAAAAACATTTAAATGACAAAGTGACAATAAATTGTAAAGTTGTACCTCAAACAAGTGTATCCAATGTCAAAATATCGGCATTTAGTAACACTGAATTTAAAAGTATTACAATAACATTTAAAAAATGTAAATTAATAAAAAAGATTGGGAATAATAATAATTCTTTTTAGCTTTATGTTAGACGAAATGTCATTCATCCACTGACGTTTATGAGACGCCCAGTGATATACATATTATAGATTGCTCACCCATCTATAAAAAATTACGAAAAGCGGGTTGCAATGTACCTTTCCTAGTGCTCACTAAATAGAGCCGTTCTAGCCCAAATGTGTTTTAATATAAAATTTCAGCATTTTAATCTTTAAAAAAAGAAAATAATTAAAGTTTTATTTCAAGACACGTTATTATGTATTTGGACAGTTGAGTTTCCATGTAGTTAAATAATATTAAGAGATCTAAACAATTTTTAAAACAGATAGATATAAATAACTTTAGACTACTCTCATTTCAGAAATAACACTACATATAATACATAATTGCAATATGTAATACAATTTCGAAAAGAAAATGTAAACAACTTTGATATGAGATATAAACAACTTTGGTAAGAGTTGTAATTGGATTATTCTGAATAATTTTTAATGGTAATGTCACTAAAAAAATTTACAAAAATCACTGGGTTTTTAATATTTTAAAGTTTGTTGCAATCTCTTCTGACAGCACTTGCAATGTATTATTTATGATTTGTTTATTTTAGTAATAAATGAGAAATAGTTAATAAATTCTAAAGAAGGCTATGATATTTTTGTCAAATTGGACATACTTATTTCATAGTAACGTTCTACATTAGTTTTAATCAACAGAATAAACCATTAATTATCTGCAAAATTATATTTATATAAAATGTTCATTTAAATATGTAAAAATCTTAATGACAAGAAAACACTAAAGATTCTAATTTCTAAACCGGTTCTGTAAATGATTTCTTTACAACTAAGTGCTCAAAATTGATACAAGCTAGATAAAAAAAACTTTGCCCAGTGAAATACGTTTTTCGTTGTCTGATTTACATATGGATAAGCAATCTATATAATTATGTATATCATTGGATGTGAGACACTAATTCTGCTCTGTGGAAATTCATAAAATTTCTTTACTATCGAATGAAATCCAGGTTTCCAAAGTAATGTGTTCGTACATCCACGGATGCAACAAGTTTTTTCGATAATGATATTACGTAAATAATTCGACTTTATTTAATTAATAATTATTAAACAATAAATGCCGTATAAAATATTAATAAATATCCCCCATAAAGTTCAAATTTTTGTCACCAGTTAGCGTTAAAGTCATGATGCACGGTCCCTATAGGTGGATATGATACACCCATTTTGCACAAAAACGCGGAAATTACCTTTTGCTTTTGGAATGTCACTAATTTGAGGAGAGTGGTAAGGAGAATTATCCATTATTTTAACAGTATTTGGTGGCAAATTAAGAATTAATTGTTCACCAAACCATTTCTTGAACAAGGTAGACGTCATAATATCGGTGATTATTTTTTTCGTATAACTTTTAACCAATTAGAACGTTCAATTTAGTTAAGTTACCTCGTATAATTACGATAATACCTGATTATACATAGAGTAGCTCCACCAATCAAAAATATTTACAATAATTTCATTTCCGTAGTAACCACATCAACAACAATACACTAACAGGACCGTCAAATTTTGACGTTTATCAATAATTATTTTCATTGTACCAATATGTATTTAAATTAATAAATTGTTGATATTTACTTAATTTACTCAAAAAATAATCGTATCAAATACAATACGTACTTCAAAATAAATACGGTTATACATCTCAAACTTCCTGCATAATTACAAATCGTGTCAGTTTGACAGAATAATCATCCCGCTTCGCGGTCGGATTATTTAAACTGTCAAACTGACACTCTTTATAATTATGCAACAAGTTATCGATGTATAACCTGATTATTTTGAAGTACTTATAGTATTACTACTGATAATCTGCTGAATAACTCAAAATATTCTTTGCTGACAATAGCAAGCAATTCGTCACAAAACCATTTTCATTACCGGAATATGTAATATTATAATATGTTTTCCTATATTTGGAGGAGCAATCACAGAACATTTAGCAGATTGACCACTCCATTCTTTTTTCAAATTATCATGAGTATCGTACCAAGTCTCATTACACTATGAATCTATCTTGCCGACGAGCTTCATCTATTCTAGTGAGGTATTCATTACGTAAAATCATAATTCTTAAAGATTCCTTAATATGATGTCTTCTATTTAATAGGATATCTAAAACTTAAAGAATAGAGCACTATTCTAGTGGTTTTGTCAGATTTATAAGAGAAACCGGGAACCAAATTTATTTCATTATTAATCATTTGAAAATATGGCAAGATATTATCAAAATAAAAATTACAAACATTTCTTCTATTCTCCATCATGCAGTGATCTAGACTAACTAGAGATATTTGATTCCGTTTTTTTTTTCTTTTCAATTTCTGGCTCGTAATAACTTTTCTAATGAAAGGTTTTGAAATTTTTGTCATGTGTATTCTTTCTATGACACCGTAATTAGATTTTCCAATTTTAATTGGTGGTACATATTTCGAATAACTTTTTGAGTTGAGGGTGACATACCAAATTTTGGTTAATTTCAACCCCTCCTCCTCTTTTTCCTTTTCCAATCATTTAGGGTCACTTGGGGTAAGAGCGCGTTGCTTGGGGTAAATGTATTAATAAATATCTATCTAAATACCAATATTCTGATTAAAATACGAAAAAATTCAATTTTAGTGTGGCAAAATGCATTTACCCTATGTTTACGGGATCAACAAAAATTTAAAAAATATATAATTAAAATTTATCATATATATAAATGCCAATTGTTTGTTTTATTTAATTGTACCATAAACGTTGAAATGGTAATCTTAATAAAGTCTCATCTATTTACTAGTAATTAATATACATTTATTCAGCTTATTGTCACTTTTTTTAATAAAGGTTTTACATTTTCTCAGTATGTATTAATATTTGACCCCCAGTTATTAAGCAAACAATTAATATTTTCCACTATATAATTTGCAGGTAAAATATAACCTTTTCTTTGTAAATCATCTTGTATAGATAAATAATAATGTAAACTGCCAAAGCCGACTTTGAACTATTTAAATTTTACAATTTATGTAGGTAGTTAAAAATCAATTGATTCTATTTATTTAAAATCTTGTTAATCAGAATTATAATTATTTACATACCTTCAGGGATTACATTATTTTCATCACTTTCAAAAGGCCTCCAAAAAGCCATTTTTTAACCAAAAATTCAAACAGTAATGTATGTAAATACAACACTGGATAATCAAACAATGGCGATATGTGCTCACTCAATACTGCGAGGATACATAGAAGCGTGCCAAATACCAATTAGAACATAAGTTGATCAAAATCACAGTCTTACGATTGGATATCTCAGTCCACGTTGACCTGCGTTTTTTACGGGCTATCATGGTCTATTACAAATAGAAATGAGAGAAAGGCTCAAATCAGCCAATTAGAAAACGATAAAATTAAGCTGTACATCGACCGGGCTAGTCGTACAGCGATGCCAGACATAATATATTTATGACATACTAGGCCCGATTATATTTGCTTGAAGGGTAGTAAGGGTACTATGCGCTAAACGTACACAATCGTTTAGCTGTAATGGAATTGAATCCTTCACTTTTTTTTTCTCCTGGGCTTGTCTGACTATGTGTCTCCGAATAACACTAAAGCCTATTGGCTTATTGTGTTTTACCCCATATTAGTTCATAGCACCCACTCTGTCACCTTTGTACCTTGTACAAGTTTGTACAGATCTTTGGGTGAGTGGGTTCTATACGTTGTTGGATCAACCTGGGGTTGTCCAAAAAGAGCCTGTCTTTTACGATCTAGAGCTTCGCATTCGCACAGTATGTGTTTGGCCGTTTCTGGTTTCTTGTGACATAGTCGGCACATGAGTTCCCCATTGTACATGCCAATTTTGTTCAAATGTCCCTTTACTGGGGCGTGCCCAGTCATGTTATCACTTTCAACTGGTTCCTATTCATAAAGAGTAGTTCTCCAGTTCTTTTGGGACATGGTCTGCCTATGAAGGCTTTTCCATGTGCCTGTTTTGGGGTGCTTCCCCAATAGTTTATATGTTGTTCCCGAATCCAGTCGTTTATGAAAACCCGGACTGTACTTTTTGGTACTCCTGGGTTTGTGTCTGGTTCCGGTGTTTCTTCTGACCCTCTTTTTGCAAGTTCGTCAGTCTTCTCGTTGCCTTCGATCCCTTGGTGACCTGGCACCCAAAATAGTTTTACTATATTTCGGTCTGCCAGTGTGCTTAGTTCTTCGATGCATTCCCATACCAGCCTCGACGTAACTTTCTGACTCGATATGGCCTTAAGTGCCGCTTGGCTGTCCGACATTATTTGAATATGCTGATTTTCGACAGCTCTTTCATTGCTCGTTTTTTCACATCGCAGAATTGCGTATACCTCGGCCTGAAATACCGAGGAATGTATTCCTATAGCATAGCTATGGTTTTTATCAGGGTTTTTGGAGAATACTCCTGCCCCAGTGCCTTCCGCAGTCTTAGACCCGTCTGTATACCAGGTTTGTTCCTGTCGTTGGGCATTATTGGGCTCCCTTCACTTATTTTGCTGTTTGACAAATGTGTTTTCTAAGTCTGAACGTCGGCGGTGTCTTTGTGAACTATATATAATAATATTACTGATATTTAATTGTGGAATAGTAAAATTTATTTGTGCCGTCCACTATACCTTCTGGGCGTCCCCACCAATGCGAAAATATATTTCGGAGAGGGGCCTAGATACATCTTTATATCGAAAATAACATACGGGGTGATGTGACTGATAAATTGGATCGAACATTTTGCATTAAAATTATTAAATTAATTTTAAAAAGTAATGAAATGACAACAAAAAAATAGGTCCATTACAGAGAATTTGTAACCGAACCACAGAACTAAACTTCGATTTTCTCACTTAAGTCGGACTCAGCTGAGATTTGTTTATAAATACTGATCTGAATCTCGTGTGTAGATCACTTCGACTAAATGTACCAAACATTATTCGTTGAATTTTATTAATTGGAATTATTGTTATGACCTATGACCGGTTAATTTTTTATGTATCCTTATAATAAAGAAGAATACTCGCCTGGTAGTGGAGTAAAATTCTCTTGGTGAAAACTATATATTTTTTGACGTACTTACCTAATTTTTGATTTTCCTCAATATTACTATAAATAGTTGTGACATCATTAGCTCACGTTAATGAAAATTACGTACTATACTGCTCAAAATAATCAACTTTCATGACTTGAAAAACATAGGCTAAATATTTATATTTCTGAACATACCTGTAACCTCATCCACTTACCTCTGGCATAGGTTATCTTTTTATTTTGTAAGAATATATGGATCAATTAAGATCATTCTATTTTCTAAAATTCTAAACTATTGGTTTTGACGAAATAAATAATCTTAACAGGACAAGTGATATGATTTATTTTGTCTACGTAGGTAACAAGAGCATTTTCAATTTAGTCACATTTTATTTATTTTTTTAATGTTTCACAATATATTAATAATAATGAATCGTTTCTTATTGTTCTTTATTATTACATTTAAAAATCAACATAGTTTTGTAATAAAGTGATATTACACTAGCTATTAATAATAAAAGCCAATAATATGGAATCTCCATCTTTTAACTAAAACTAAATCTAAATTATCAAGACATAGTTTTTTTTCTATATATATACGCTTTACAAATACCTTGATAAGTATTGCCACTCCAAGAAGCTAGTGCACTTCTAAAAATTGTATGTTACTCAGTTGCCTCATGAATTAAATATTCTCCATACAATAATAAACAGATAAATAATGCTAGTAAAAAGTAGCAAATCCCAAACTATTGGAATAAAGTGATATGATAAACGGAAGACAATTATTGCAATAATTATAACAAACCTTGTATGAGTATTTACAACTTTATTTATGATTTGGAGTGAGGGTAGCCATATGTGAGTAGTAGGGATTAAGTGTAAGGGGTTAAAGAAAAGGTCCTTTATTTCTCACAAGTCAATTTAATTGGCGACCGTTTCGAAGTTGTCACTTCATCATCTGATGATGAAGTGACAACTTCGAAACCGGTCGCCAATTAAATTGACTTGTGAGAAATAAAGGACCTTTTCTTTAACCCCTTACACTTAATTTACTTTATTTATGCTATAATCGCAATCATGAAACCAAAAGCAATTATTAATGTAGAAAGACAAAAATTAAATAAGATTTATTTATCCTATCTATAAGAAAATTAATAAAATATTTAAAAACAAAAGTAGGATAACTGAAGCAAAATAATGTCAGTCTCTCTGTAATATGCTTGTTCGTTTTTATTTTTCAAATGCGTTCTTATTGGTTTATTTTATATTAATGATTTTAACGATCTAGGTTTTACACTCTTCCACCAGAAGATTTTAAATCAAAAAAAAAAAAAATTGAAATCCTTGTAATATTCAGTATCTCCATCTGGTGCTTGCCGAATCCTTTACAAGTCGTATCGAATAAAGAGAAGTAAACTTCGTTAAATAATCTGGTGTAAAAAAATCAACATTGAATTTTCTAACCCCATATTAATTACTAGATACGTTTCTGTAGTCTAGCGGTTAAGATGTTAATACGGCCACCAATGGTATGGATTCAATGCCCTTGATGTTTATGAAATTTTTCCAATATTTTTAATAATTTATATTTAATTGATATTATAAATATTGATCTACATAGGACTTCGATTCTTAGTTCATGTCAATTAATAATAATAAATATCCAAATGTTTCTTGCAGGGGCGTAGTATATTTTAACGAATTAGAAGTAGAAGCAAATAATATTTGAAGTAGAGAAATTTACTGTGAAACAACTGAGTATATACAATATTTTTCTAATATTCATGCCGTTAGTGATAAGATCTTCAAAATCATCTCTTCAAAAAAATTTACAACTAATATATTGGGCCCGGGAATGGTGTTCGAGTTACATCTATATAAGATAAAAGGGCCATAACACTTCTAATATTTTGTTTACATATCTTTATCATATACACAACATGTCAACATTTTATTTATAGATATATACAATTATATTGTATTATAGGAAAAATCTACAACAGCTATTTCTGATAATTTTATAAATTACACGGCATATTTCTGCAAATTTTCGTAGATATCGATTTGTGTTACTCAATTTTTACAGAAATAGCTATAGCTATAGTCTCTTTGTAGGAAGAAAGTGTTAATTAACATTGATATTAATTTTAAATAAAAAATAATATAATCTAATATGTTACAACTATTCAGGGTATTTTATTGGGAAACGCATATAAGTTAAATGTGAATCGGAATTACCAGTTGATTCTAGATATACCGTACTTAAAGGGTTCTATACTGTTAGATATCATTCCTAGTTAATACTAATTGTCCAAATCAACAAAATGTTTTGTTATTTTAAGTTTTTGTTTTGAAATTTTGGTAGATATTATTTTGTCAGAGCTGACAAAGCATTTATCTGCACTATATTTTATTGTTCTTTAACTTGGCGCAGTCAGTAGGATCTTGCTATCTTTCAAAGAAATTGTAAACACTAACATTTTATTTAGTCCTTTGGACATATTAATTTTCCACAACCTCTAATATAGCCTTTACATTTTTACTTTCCTTGATCAGGGTAGGTTTTTTAGTTCTGCTATTTGTATTCCTCTTGATTTTTTTCGTCAGTTTATGTCTCAGTAAGGTATATACAGACTTTATTCTCACCAAGCATAAACATGATGGTTTATTATACTCAACCATTCTTGCTCTATAACATTTTCTGCGTCATGCCTTCATAAGAGAGGTGTAAAGTATTTTTGTTACAGCTACAAATACAAAACTACTCTTTCTCAACTTTTCTTGATTAAGGCGTGAGGTACATATCCTTATTTGTTCATTATATTACAGTGTAATCAGCGTGATATTGCTGTAAAAAAGTATCGTATTCAACTCGTAAGGAATACTCATTTCCTACTCGTATGATTTGCAGCATTCGCATGAGTACCATTTCTCGCTCGTTAAACAAAATATACTTTTTTGTTGTCATATGTAGTAACCTAATAACTAACTATATATTTTAAATTTTAAATTTTCCTTGAAGTGTCCAAAGGATTAGGTATACTAAACAAGAATTAATAAATTATTATCGGATCCTCTTAGCAACATCGTTTACCAGAATTTTCAAAAACATTTTAAAAATTTGAGTAAAATAATTGCGGACAAAATATCCTGTATATGGGTTATGCGGGTTTTAAGACTCATTAAGTATGATATATTTATTTAGTTACCTATTTTCAGTTAACATATATCTCTTGCCCAATCAAACATCCTATATTATAATCTAATATGTTACAACTATGTAACAGCAGTAGATCACAATATTTAATTTAAAGAAATTAACGTAAATGAAAAATTTGGTTCAGTTTCATGGTCTAAAAATAGTGTTTAAAGCGTTTGAATGAAGAGATTTTTAATATATTCGAAACTTAAATTAAGGCTCGTTTAGACAGTACGAGCAATGTTGCCAATCAATTTGGAAGTGCGCAGAGCTGAGACTTTCAGAAAGATGTGGCAACAAGGCCAAAGCCACTGGCTGGTGCCTGGTGTCGGGAAAAACAAACAGACAACATAAAACAGACTAGCTTAAAAACGTTTTGTTAGGTCAAACTCGTAATGAAATGACTCAAGTTGTGCAGTTGTGGTTTGTTGTCCAACCAAACTTTGTTTATAACTGTTGAATTGTGTCGATTTAACAGTAAAGAATATTTTTAATATACCAATACCCATTTAATTACCCTGAGGAATTGGCTCATTAGAATGTTAACGCTAGAATACTAAAATATCGACAATGCTTACTGAAATATCTTCATGTGATGGAACTAAACAATGATCCCACTACATGTAAACTTTGTATCGAAGAGAAATACATCTCATACCATGTCATCTTCGAACGCAAAGCTCTGGCTTGGAGGAATATACCCTTTTCGGTTCAGAAATCAAGGAACATGCACCATAAACACTTGGTAAGGAACCTAGGGAAACTAAACAAAGTGTGCCTATTAAGACGCAGTAACTGAATACAGGGACAGCAGGGGAATACAATAGATCCAAAAAACCGCAATATTCTGGGCTAAAACTAAAACTATCTGCAGGGTTATTCTACTAAATTTATAGCCCGGCTACAAGTTGGATTTTGGCTTGAACTTTATATGTTCCTAACTTCAAAATCCAACTTGTAGCCGGGCTATAAATTTAGTAGAATAACCCTGCTGGTTGTAGCCGACAAAGATAAAGATCCAACAAATATATTGTCAACATCCGTAAATAAGTCGCCAACAGTTGCAAGCTGGTCAGTACTTACGTTAAGCACTCTGCAAATGGAGACAGAAGTGCTATTAATTATACCTTTACTGTCTCCTTGTACAGAGGTACTTCTGCTTCAAAGTCTAGCTGAATATTGGCTGTTACTAAAATCAAACAGGTTTGTGTCAGTGTTTCTTATTAGAGTATTTCTTTTTCTATAGTTTACGCTCAATTAAATTACACAGCTGTTTAAATTTTCTCTTGTATTCCACAGGATTCTCCTTGCAAATTTCTGAAGTATTGTGAATCAAGCTCCTAGGTGATCTCTGCGACATACCCAGTCTTTTTCCAGCACACCCTTTTTTGGATTATTTTTTCTTGGAGCTTTACACTTAAATAATATACAATGTTACAGCCTCATCAACAGGTTCCTCGTACTCTTCAACAACCTCCTTCCTCTACGTTCTTACATATCAATATTGCACTTACCATTCTCAAACAAACTAGCAATTGATTGCCACTAGAACTTTTTAATGAAAACCATTACTGTCCTCACTTTTGGCCATTTCACTGACTGTATCTCTACTGTCCGCCACTATAATATTGCCCCCGATTGCGAAGAGTTTTATTAAATAACAAAAATTGTTGAACTAATTCCAGTAGCTCGCATGCCAGTTACTTGCTGATCCTCTCGCAATGACAGTAACTCCTTTGAATTGTTTAAACGATGATAGTAGCTTCAGTACAGTAACAAACGTAATCAACTAGATCTTTCTAAACGAGCCATTTTTAAAATAATTTTTAATTTGAATTCATTTTAAAAAATAAAATTCACTAATCGGTATAATCTCAATGATAAAAACCTCCTCACTCTTTTTTTTGTTTTCAATTTATTTAACAACTACTATACAGGGTGTTCTAAACAACAATTGTTTTTAGCCAGTAGAATACAGTTTTTTAATAATAATATGGAATAGATAATATAAACTTTTTACAAAAAAAATACACAGATAAAAGTGAATAATCAAACTAATTAAAATATGTAGTATAAAATTATGTAACTGTAAATGCTATACAAAAGTAACACGAAATAACTTTTAGTTGAACTAACATTTTTGATTCAAATTCCTGTGACAGGTTTTGATTTTAATTTACTATATTTTTACATGATACAATATCTCGGAGGGGGGTGTTAAATAACTTTATTCGTCGGCACCATCTTGTTTTTTGCTTTTTCTTAACACCTCGAGGTTACAATTTAATAAATGTCAGTGTATTTCTTCTAGAAGCTCGGGAGTGGGAATTACCCTTTTACTCTCCCCTTGTATCCGCACCTGCTATGTTATTTACGAATCTTTAATATTATTAACTGGAATGAAACTCATACTTTTGCTAACAAATACATAGGGGTGGACCACCGGTAACGCCTCAGTCTATTCGCGATTCAAGCTAAGTGATACGCCCTCTGGAGGAAATTTGTAGAAGGGCCGTATAAGTAGGATATCGTTCACTGTTGCCAGAAGTAGCAAAACTTCGCTACGTCGTCGGATTTTAGCCCAGTTTTTAACTTAATTGTTTTGAAACTATGAAATGCATTCTCTACGATTTAAAAGTATTTCGAAATCGACCTACTATTCAGAAATAATTTAACATACAGGATGTTAAATTATTTACCGAGTCGAATAAAAATAATTTAATTCCATTTAAGGAATAATTGTGACATGCCTCCCCTCCAAGAAAACCGGACCCCGGTTTTAAAATTAACAAATATGTTGTCATGCAAATGTGTAAAAAAAGGGTATATACAATACATACAAAACAAATATAAAAAAAAACAAATTATTTAAAAATGAATAAGTAAATATATAAATTGACTAATTGAATAAAAAAATAATTATAACAAAAAAATTAATTACTATACAATTAAGTCTTTTTATTTTTTACGCTCACTCACACACTTGTTTTTTAGCAAAATCCATCTCTCAATTAATGTTCGACCGACTTGCACACTATTGGACACTAAAGCTAAGTCCGTACCTGGCACATCTCAATTCTGTTTCGGTGTTCCCTTCTCGGTACTGACAGATGAGATGAACAGAATTCTTCTTTTCGATTTTGTTCATTGTTAAATACATTATTTATGACTTCTTCGGGAAAATCAGAAGAATTTTCTGGAACTACAGAATGTTCTGGAATTGAAGAATGCTCTGGAAATGCAAAATTTCTTGAAATTGCAGAATTTTTTTGCTGTAGAGTTATATATATTTTTTTTTGAGATTGGTTATTTGAAATTATTTTATTTTCAGAAATATTTATAAGTATTTAATTTATGCTTTATATTTTATGAACCACGATTATTTTTTTTTGCGATCGATGACGACCACCCTTTTTGCCGTCTCGCAAAACTCTCCATGACCCCTTAAAAAAAAACCGACTAGGTTCGATTTCGCAAGACTTCCAAAATCGTCGAGTCAGCACAAAGTTCATTAGTTTTTAACTTAATTCTTATGAAACTATGAAATGCATTCTCTACGATTTAAAAGTATTTCGAAATCGACCTACTATTCAGAAATAATTTAACATACAGGATGTTAAATTATTTACTGAGTCGAATAAAAATAATTTAATTCCATTTAAGGAATAATTGTGACATGCCTCCCCTCCAAGAAAACCGGACCCCGGTTTTAAAAGTGACAAATATGTTGTCATACAAATGTGTAAAAAAAGGGGTATATACAATACATACAAAACAAATATAAAAAAAAACAAATTATTTAAAAATGAATAAGTAAATATATAAATTGTCTAATTGAATAAAAAAATAATTATAACTCGTTTATATGTAAAAAAAAATATTCAAAAATTCAAAAAAATTAATTACTATACAATTAAGTCTTTTTATTTTTTACGCTCACTCACACACTTGTTTTTTAGCAAATTTAATTTCATTTTAGGAATTTTGCATTTCCAGAGCATTCTACAATTCCAGAACATTCTGTAGTTCCAGAAAATTCTTCTGATTTTCCCAAAGGAGTCATAAATAATGTATTTAACAATGAACAAAATCGGAAGGAAGATAAAGCGACAAACAGGAAAAATAAAAGTACTGGAACAAAAAAAGATAATTTCAAAAAACCAACCTCAGAAAAAAATATATATAATTCTACAGAAAAAAATTCTGCAATTTCAAGAAATTTTGCATTTCCAGAGCTTTCATCAATTCCAGAACATTCTGTAGTTCCATAAAATTCTTCTGATTTTCCCGAAAGAGTCATAAATAATGTATTTGACAATGAACAAAATCGAAAAGAAGAATTCTGTTCATCTCATTTGTCAGTACCGAGAAGGGAACACCGAAACAGAATTGAGATGTGCCAGGTACGGACTTAGCTTCAGTGTCCAATAGTGTGCAAATCGGTCGAACATTAATTGAGAGATGGATTTTGCTAAAAAACAAGTGTGTGAGTGAGCGTAAAAAATAAAAAGACTTAATTGTATAGTAATTAATTTTTTTGTTATAATTATTTTTTTATTCAATTAGACAATTTATATATTTACTTATTCATTTTTAAATAATTTGTTTTTTTTTATATTTGTTTTGTATGTATTGTATATACCCTTTTTTACACATTTGTATGACAACATATTTGTTAATTTTAAAACCGGGGTCCGGTTTTCTTGGAGGGGAGGCATGTCACAATTATTCCTTAAATGGAATTAAATTATTTTTATTCGACTCAGTAAATAATTTAACATCCTGTATGTTAAATTATTTCTGAATAGTAGGTCGATTTCGAAATACTTTTAAATCGTAGAGAATGCATTTCATAGTTTCAAAACAATTAAGTTAAAAACTAATAAACTTTGTGCTGACTCGAGGATTTTGGAAGTCTTGCGAAATCGAACCTAGTCGGTTTTATTCAGTGTAGTCCGGTCATTTAAGCTTAAATTAGGTAAGAATCTCGGAATTCGAGATACCCAGCTGTAAGTCTGTAAATACTTGTATATTGACACCCTAAAAGTTGTCTCAAAACCTACATATGGTAGGGTGTACGCAACTATTAAATTTCAAGGTCAAAGGTCACAAAAATCGTTTTTTTGCGCTTTTTTTTTGTAAATATCTCATTTCCTATGGGTTTTTTGCTATTTGTATTTATTATCAATATTGTAGAATACAAAATTCTCTACAAATTTTGTTTAAAAAAATTCAGACTACAGTAAGAACGTAAAAGCTATGGAGCAGCAGAAAAGAACTGCTGCACTTTCAAAAAACGTATGAAGTCTATTTCGATGAAACAATGGTTGTACCATTTACTCAAGAACATTCTTATAAAATCGAAATAACAAAGATATGCTCATTAATATGTTAATTGAAAAATTACAAGCTGCAAATATTACTACTAAACAAGCCAGAGATGATGCGGATGTTCTTATTGTTGAAACTGCAATTGAAGAATCAAAGTCTGAAAAAACTGCAGTTATAATAGGAAAGATATTGATTTACTTGTCATTTTAATTGGGCATACACTGTCTTACGAACAAGAAATTTTCTTTAAAAAAGTTGGGAAAGGAAATGTAAAAACGGAGATATACTCGACTAAAAGTTTTGATAATTATCCTCATTTCAAAACACATATTTTATTTCTGCACGCATTAAGTGGCTGTGACACAACTTCTGCGCTTTTTAAAAAGGGAAAAAATCATTTTTAAAAGTTTTTGAGAAACTGACAAATTTGCAGCATTTAAGGAAGAAAATTGTTCGGCCCAGAGATTATTAGAAAGTGGAAATCAAACCTTATTGGCAGTCTATAATGCTCCGAAATCTGTGAAAAGTCTCGATCATCTTCGTTATATGCATTACGTCAAGTCTACAAAACTTAATAAACCTGTGCAGCTTTCAAATATTCCACCAACAAGTGCAGCTGCTCATCAACATTTCAAACGTGTATATTATCAAGTTCAAACTTGATTAGGGCATGATTTGGAACCCCAGGCATGGGGTTGGGCAATGCGAAACGATTTTCTGGAGCCTATTATGACAATTTTACCACCTGCTCCAGAAGATTTGCTAAATACAATTTTCTGCAACTGCAAGAGTGGTTGTGGTTCGCGATGCGGATGCAGGAAAGCGGGCTTGCAATGCTCTTTAGCTTGTGGCCAATGTAATGGGCAAGCTTGTCTCAATGCTCTACCATATCAGAGCGACATTAACGAAGATGGAACCTTTGACCCTGAAATCATGGAAGAACTTGAAACAAATGTCGTTGAAGACGATAACGAAGACCAGTTTGAAATTTACCAGCAGCCAGAAGACGACGATGAAAAGGAAGAAGATGATTAAAATTATAAATTGTAGTTTTTGTATCTTTTATTCCATTTTTTTACTTTTAATAAAAATAAATGTATTGAATGATATTTTTTAATAAAAAGATTAATTCATAATTTTTTGTTTTTTTTTTTTCATCATGTAAGAAGTTATTAATATTAATTAGGTTAAAATTCAAATATAATTCCTATATTTTCATTAACAATTATGCAATTACATCGGCAGGTAAGTGTTGTTAAATAAATTAATACTGAATAAAAAGTGGATAGGTTAGGAAAAAAATGATAAAATATAATAATTGACAAATATTTATAATCATTGATTTATCGATAGTTCATCAACTATAAATGGCGCGTTTTCGACCGGAGGCACCGGTTGACCTCAAGTGATGCTGTGACCGCGCGCTCTCCGCCATCTATCTCGAAAACGGTTCACCGTATCAAAAATTATTTGAAACAATATTTGTAGAGAATTTTGTATTCTACAATATTGCTAATAAATACAATTAGCAAAAAACCTAATGAGATATTTACAAAAAAAAGCGCAAAAACCGATTTTTGTGACCTTTGACTTTGAAATTTAATAGTTGCGTACACCCTACCATATGTAGGTTTTGAGACAACTTTTAGGGTGTCAATATACAAGTATTTACAGACTTATAGCTGGGTATCTCGAATTCCGAGGTGAACTTACTATATAATGACTGGACTAGTGGGTTATGGAGAGTTTTGCGAGACGGCAAAAAGGGTGGTCGTCATCGATCGCAAAAAAAAAATAATCGTGGTTCATAAAATATAAAGCATAAAATAAATTCAAACAGGAAAAATAAAAGTACTGGAACAAAAAAAGATAATTTCAAAAAACCAATGACAATGATTCTTTATTATATCTTTTGCGTCTTTTAATTACGATATTTAATAAAGTATTTGTTGATTTTCTATTATAACTAGTTTAGTTCTCTATACGGTAATTTAAGTCACCCGAGGTTCATCTTAAGTGGCGCAGATTCCTTCTAAACCAAGAAGTTAATCTGAGCCTTTTGAGATTAACATCGGCTAGAGCGCGCTTAGCGGAAGTGGGTGATTATCTATTTTTACCTCTCAAAGCCAAGCGAGGACCCCTAATCACATTAAAAAGAATAATTACCCCTCCCTAACCGTTAAGCGTGACAATAAACAAACATCCTAATTATAGATGACAAATGACAGGCGCGCGAAAATTAATTTGAATCGCCAATGGAGCCAAACTATTTGATTTTTTTGAAATCGGTTTTCACTGCGAGATGTTATAAAAGGCAACAATTTAAAAATAATTTCAGCTATACAGGGTTCTCCTTGAAAGTGATACATTTCAAAGATAGGTTTCTTAATTGTATTTTATTTTATATTTGAATTGCCCTTGTTTTTCCCATTATAACAATATCAATTAGTATGAGATTATGTAGGGTATTTTTTTAAGAAAATTGTAATGATTTCAGCAAACAATTGAAAACCAATTTTTTGCTGTGTAAGTTTTTCGATTTAGTGAAAATGTATGCTGATGCACTACTTTTTTTAATTCAAAACAAATCTGTAAATGGTGAGTCAAAATACAAAAATACATCATTATTTTTTTTAAATTGGCCACCCTGTATTTTATATCATTATTTTAAAGTACCTATAATAAAGTTTTATTTGAGTTGAGCATTCCGTATACCTAACGTTAATAATGTTCAGAGATTTTTACACTTTAAATGAGAAAAGAGATAATTCAAAAAATACTAAAAGTTTAACTGGTTACTGGTTGATAGAAAATAGACGTTGATAATTGAAATTTAACCAGCAATAACTTATTATTGCTGGTTAAGTTTTTGATAATAGCGAATGCGAATTTTATATTCAATACAAGAAGAAATAAAAATGGCAAATTATAACTTGACATAATACCTACCTACTTTATTCTAAGTTTATTAAGTTTCATATTAAGAGTATTTATTTAATTAGAAAATATTTTCTAATAAATAGCCTCCAATAATATTTATAGAGGTCTAAAGGTGGGTTTCAAATGTGAGTTGTGAGTTGAACTCCATTTCTAAGCACTTTTTAAGTAATACTCGAAATACTTTTTATTCAAGACTAAAGGTCATATTAAAAAACTGGTTAGACTTTTTTAAAAATAAATATTGCAACACTAATGACGTAAGTAATACTGAAGTTCATTATTACTAACATCATTAGTATTGGAGGTTTCAAAATCAACTTAAAAATATAATAAACCTAGAATAAAGTGGATATTATAATGGAGTGAGTCTATGATTGGTTGCTATTGGTATTTATTTTTAACTGAACGTTAAAAATTCAGTAAGAAATTATCACAAACTTATTCAGTCAATAATAAATTACAGCTGGTTAAATTTTGAATACTAATTAACAAGCAATCTATTTTCTGTTAATTAGAAGCCAGTTAAAATTAGACTATTTTGTGAATGATTTTTTTGTCATTTAAATTTAAAAATCTCCCAAAATTATTAAGTTTAGATATAGGGTAGGCTTAGCTGTAATTAAGATACTTTAAATAGTAATATACAATACAGGGTGGTTAATTTAAAAAAAAATAGAAAATGATGTATTTGAGTTTTGATTCACCCTGTATAGATTTGTTTAAAATTGAAAAAATGGTGCATCGAGTTAAAATGTTGAGTGATATAGAAAACCTTTTATTGGTTTTTTGCAGTATAGATATCATTGAAAGCAAAACAATTTTCATATAAAACTGGTTAGAGAGTGAGAAATACTCTATATAATCTCATACTATTTGGTATTGGTATAATAGAGAAAGCAGTAGAAATTGAAACATAAAATAAAATACAGGATGTCCTATTTAAAAAAAAAACCTAACTTTGATACCTATCACTTTCTTGAAGAACCCTGTATTATTGAAATTGTTGGCTTTTCCGATATACATTTCGTTGTGGAAACAGATTTTAAAAAGATCAAATAGTTTTACCTCTGCAGACCGAGGCGATACCGGTGGCACACCCTGTATATTGATGCCTCTACGTTCAGTGTTAAACACAGACCTATCACCAATACCTATAAATTAATTAATTTTGATTAAAGCATCGCATACGCTACATGCACCATATTCGAGTGGAGACGCTATCTCGCGGATGAAATAAGAACTAAATTTTTGTAACCAGCGTGTATCATGTGAAAGGGAAGCATAAAAATTAAAAAAATAAAAAATATATATATATCATTTAAACAAAGCTATCGATGGTTATCTTGGTATTAAATTACTGTGTATAAATACAGTAAATTAAAATTAAACAAAAAAAATTACCCGTCACTGGAATTTCTATCAAAAAAGTTTGTTCAACTAAAAATAAAATAATACTTACATTATGGACACACTGTTAATACATTAGAACATCCTGTACCAAAAATAAATGTATCTGTAATATACAATGGCGGTCCTACAAGTGAAATCATCATATTGTGCACTGTTTATTAAATTAATTTTTCATATAATCAATTTACATTTTTCTCTCTATTCTACAGTTCCTATTGTCAGTATAATTTTCTACTAAACTAAGTTTTTTTTTTAATAAAAATCAATTAGAATACAATAATTTTTTTCTAAATAAAATAAAATAAACAGAAGTTTAATCAGTTTTTGTGAAATAAATTTTGATAGAAAAAATTGAAAGAATTAATAAAGACAACATTTTTCCTGAGCTTTGTTTCAAGTTTTTCTATCGAATTAATGCAAAAATATTGATAAAATTATCAAATAAAAAATGATCTAGATAATTTAAGTGAACTGTTACATAAACACAATAAGTTCAAGCTTAGATTATTTTTCATGAGTTTACGCTTTAAAAGATTTTTTACATCTACCTCTCATATGTATGAATTTCTAAATTTCATAAAGTGCAGCAGAATCAATGTTAATTAAGAAAAAACACATTGTTTTTATTCTAGAACTATCTAGTTTAAAGTAACACATCTAAAATGAACTATTAGAAATAGTAAGATGTGATTTTTTTTATAATATTATACAATTTATTATTAATATCAAATGCTGCAGAAACAGAACTCATACAATTGAGAGGATAAGAAAGCTTGGAACAATAAATTGGACACTATTTAAATAATGATGAGATTGTTAACACTGACGGTGATTTCATATAATCGAAGGGTAGACTTCAATACAACAATGAGTATATCTGAAACCAATAAACATTTAAATTTCGAGATCAGTCTTATTCTTGGTCAACTTATAATAAATTTTAAAGATTACATGCAGAAATTTTTTTTGATAAAAACGCGAAATACGAGGTCTGTTCTGTTTTCGTTAAGGCTAAGCATAACTAGTAGGCGATGATATTTTTGTAACAAATTTTCTCTAACATTTCAATCTAGTTTACAAATTTAGTTAGTGACAGTTATAAAATATACCTCATTGTTTGTAAAAGGTACGTTTACATCTGGCATTTATTGCATGATATTAATGTCTGACAGTATGTTTAGTTCAATGTAAACACATAAACATTTGTGTCAGAGATATATGTAGGTATAAGTGTTCGGCAATATGTATCGACACTTATTTAAGAACTAATATATAAACCCTTCTTAGCAATAAGCTTCGACCTGTCTGATAGAAATCGCGACAGTTGAATAGTCGTCTACTTTTGTGATTAGTGTCGTAGAATATGTAAATAATTAAAACCCTTCTAGCGTCTTTTAAAAACGACCTAAGCAAGGAACTAGATGAAATGAAAATAAAATTCGGAGAAATTAATCAAAAACTATCCAACTTTGAACATTTAACTACCTTACAATTGGCCGATAAAATTACTCATAAAGTACTTGATAGAATGCGTGGAATTACTGAAGCACCTAGTGATAACGACACTAAAAAGAAGCATGACGAAGTTTTACAATCTGTTGGTTGCTCTTCCATCCCCGTAGCATTTTTCCGACTAGGCAAGCCCCAGTCAAACTCAAAGTACCCACGTATGATTAAAGTTGTCTTGCCCAATGAATATGATGCCCGCTCTGTAAGAAATAAAAATAAACTACTTGAACACCCCATAACTAAAAACTTTTCAGTAATTACCGATCAAACGTCTATTCAAGTTCAAATTATTAAAGATTTACGGGTCGAACTAGAAAACAGAAAGCAAAATGGAGAAACAGACATAACTATCAAGTATTTGCAAGGTGTGCCAAAAATTGTTAAAAACTCTTAACTTTCAAGTATAACTCTGCCACTATTACTTCTTGGTCATTTTTATATACTAATCTGGATTCTCTTGAGGCCAAATTTGACGAGTTTTTATGTAATGTTCAAGATCTCAAACCGTATTTAATAGTTATCACGGAAACCTGGCTAAAACCATCAGATCCAGACTTGCTTGTTTCTATCCATGGATACACCAAATTCCGACCTGATAGACCATTGAAAACAGGTGGCGGAGTTTGTATATATATAATATAATAATATAATTGATCAATAATTAATAATAATATAATTTATCAATTACCACTGACATCCCAAAAATAGCAGGTATAGATATTTTACTGCTTAACATTTTTAAAGGTCTCTTCAATATTAATTTCGCCTGTATCTATAGACCCGGTAATTCCTGCGAAGATTCAACTAAGCTATTAATTGATAAACTTAATAGCTTTTCAACACTCCAAAATGCAATTACAGTTGGAGATTTTAATTTTCCCGATATTTGCTGGCCTATAACTCGTATTCCAGACTCAGACACTTCAACAAGTAATTTTATGCAATTTTTTGCTGACTCCAATTTCTTTCAATTAATAGATAAACCAACCAGGTTTCGAGTTAATAACGAACCATCTATTCTAGATCTTATAACTTATAACAGAACCTCAACATCTTCCCCCAATAGGCATTTCCGACCACTCAGCCGAGATCCAAGTTTATATTGAAAGTGTAAACAGTAAGACGTACGATTTATACAGGATGATCAACTACAACGAAGTCAAAATGAACTTAGAAGATCAACTTTGATGATATTTTAAAAGAGTTTAACAATGTAAATGATATGTGGAACACTTTTCTATACACCATTAATGAAATAATTAATAAACATTATTTTACCAATAAGTACCGCAGAAATACGTTAAAACCCTGGATAAATAGTGATGTCGTATCCTTAATCCATCATAAACGGCGATTTTGGAGAAAGTATAACATTTCTAAAAATATACAGGACTTCCGTTCTCACAGAAATTTCTCTAATTTCTTAAAACTATCCATTTGCTCAGCGAGAAGAGACTATCAAGAAAACATCGTCAACTCAGAAAATCACAAAAAGTTATACAAATATTTGCGTTCAAATTTATGTTTCAAAGTAAGTGTACCTTTATTGCGTTACCTAGATGGTACTTTATGTTCTACAGATTTCGATACTGCGGAAATTCTGACAAACGCTTTTACCTCTGTATTTACAAATGAACCTGCCACCACCGCAATACCACATATAATAACCACGAGGATACATAATAGTCTGATTGAAGTGCAATTTATTCCCGAAAAGGTTAGAAATAAATTACTTAAGTTAAAGAACCACTCTTCTCCTGGTATTGATGGATTAAGTTCTTTCTGTTTAAAAAAAGTATGCAAACACACTGTCTGGCCCGCTTTCCACAATCATGACCATGTCTTTTAAAACATCTACTCTACCCGACTTATGGAAAATTGCATCAGTCACAGCTATATTTAAGAAGGGTGACACAATGGATGCTTCAAATTATAGACCTATAAGCCTTCTGTCTATCCCATCAAAAATCATGGAAAGCATCGTAGTTGATGTCATGACTAACTTTTTAAAAGAGCATAACATAATACCAAAAGAACAACATGGTTTTGTTAAAGGTAAATCCACCACAACAAATCTTTTATGCTGTATTAACGATTGGTCTCGCTCACTCGAATGCAAACAACCAACTGATGTAATTTATTATCTCGTTTTGCAAAGGCCTTTGATAGGGTCCCTTTCGTCAGACTGCAGCACAAACTCGAGTCATTTGGTATTCAAGGAAAATTATTGTCATGTATTCACAAGTATCTAGGAAATAGGAGCTTTCGAGTCAAAGTTGGTCAGTCAGATAGATTAGTGACAAGTGGTATCCCCCAAGGCTCGATACTGGGTCCGCTTCTTTTTATAACTTATTCGAGTGATCTACCTTACCATATCCAGTCTCAAAGAGCATTTTATGCAGAAGACACAAAATTTTACGGAAACCCCTTAGTAGACTACGATAATATTCAAGCTGACTTAAATTAAATAAGTGATTGGTGCTCGGACTGGCTTCTCCCGCTTCTTGTGCGAAACCAGGACCTTTTAGAAAATGTTCAATGCCGGGCTACCAGAATAACCTTTGAAGCAATCCGACCATCATACGCAGAAAGAGTACAATTGTCAAATTAATCAACTTTTGCGAATCGTTGACTACGAGGGGACCTGATTCTCACTTTTAAATATAATTACGGAAATCTCAGTGACATTTTTTTGTTAAATACTGACTCTCGTCTACGTGAAAATGAACTTTAATTAAAAAAGGAAAACCTAAAAACGAAGCACAGACAATCATTCCTTTCCAACCGGGTATTTAATGTATGGAACGACCTCAGCGACGAAGTTGATGGTGCCATAACAGTTAACGTCTTTAAAAATAAGTTAGACGAGTGTTTGTTTAACATTTTTATTTAATTTTTAGTGTTCTTATCTTTTTGTTTCAGTGTGTTACAATTTCTGTATTTTGTTTTTAGGCTATCATAGAACTTGTGTCCTCAGCCTTTATCAATGTATAATAATAATGTCTCGCATAATGGGTTAAAAAAAGGAATGGTTAGAGATTGAAATTAAATATTTATCATAACCACCCTGAATTACGGTATGGTTAAATTTATCCAGAAAGCTGCCAGAACGGTCGTACAAGAAGAAATACATTTCCATACTTTAAAATCGAGCACAATTAAGATTCAAAAGTTCTTTGCAAAAACGTCTTTGTGTTGAAAAATCCAGCTGGATTTTCAATACTGAGTTCACTCGTCTGTTTATAAGCACCATGCTTTTTACGTCTCAAAATCCATTCCCGGACAAATATAGAACCTTTTTTTTTCCTCTTTCTGTTAACCTGATAGTCTAAGATCCGAGCGTATGATTTCTACACTCATCCGCTTTTTAATCAAAATACAATTTTTATAAATAAATTACTGATAAAGAAATACTGTTTTGCCCTTTGAATAAAATATTTTTCCGGGTAGATACTCGGACTATGATTTAATATACAGGGTGTTAAAAAAAAGTGTCACAAAATGAAATGGTGAATAGTATGACCCAAAATAAGCAGAAAAGTCAATAAATATATAACCGCAAATTAACGGTTTCAAAGATACGGACCATTTTGTGTTTATAACAATTTTTTATTATTATAAAAAAACAATGATATTTATAAACAATCAATAACAACATAGAGTTAAATGAGATGTTCAAATACTGACGTAGCGCTTCCATCGCATTGCCATTTGCACGACCGTACATAAAATGCATGTCAGCTAATTCAATATTAGTGTAAACAGGCATAACGAAAATTTATAAAATTATTCGCCCACAACAAAATAATAACTGCAAATAGTATCTATGAAAAAACATCGGTAGACTCCGATAGGAAAAGCAAGTTTTTGAGAATGAAAAAAGATAATCAAAAAATGATACAAAACACAAAACACTCCGTATCTCTGAAACCATTCATTTGCGGACATATGTTTATTAAGACTTTTCTGCATATTTTCGCCCATACTACCCCCCGTTTTATTTTGTGACACTTTTTTTTTAACACCCTGTATACCCAACCAAACTTATAATTAGGAATCACTGTGTATTTCTGAATAAACATTTTGTAAGGAAAAATTTGGTATACCAACTTTAAACTAAAGCTTTTGTTCAAAACAGACATGATAATAAAGAAGAAACGACTGCTGCGATTAATTATCTTGTGAATTTTGTGTTCAGAAGTAAAATCACGATCCTTCGGTAATTTTATTTCGGTCCAAAAAACCAACAAAATGCCTTATGTTAGACTAACAGATGCGCGGAGGGGAATAATTATGGCTCTCATTGAACAAGGAATGTCCCAATGAGACATAACAAAGGTAGTAGGCGATACCTAGGGTTTTGTATCGAAAACATATGAAAGGTACTTGGAACTAGAAACTCTCAATAACAGGCCCAGACAAAGTCGTCACAACTGAACAACAGGACCGCTTTGTGTGCCAAATTGCTAAAAAAATCCCAGTGTTTCTCATCCAGAGCTACAACGACAACTTCTAAAAGCTACAGGTGTAAATGTTTTAGTTAAAACCCTAAGAAAGAGACTTCCCACTCGAGGATTGTACAGTAGGAGAGAGTTACGGTCCCATTTTTATCTAGGCAAAATCAAATTGACCGGTTAAATTAATGCCTTCAACACCAAACCTGGACAATTGAGAATTAGAAAAATGTAAATTTTTCGGATGAGACCAGAATTGGCCTAAAATCAGATGACCTTCGAACTTGGGTTCTCAGAGCTCCAGAAAGATGAGCGAGACTCCACGTTGCCAGATCTGTCCCAAGATATCAAGGAGGAACTGTAATGTTCTGGGGAGGTAATATGCTGGGAGCACAAACTCCATTGTTACCACTTCAACAAACTTTAACCGGTCCATGGTATGTTGATTTAGTGTTAGAACAAATCGTTAGGCTTTGGAGAGCTGAAATTACGGAAAATTTTATCTTAATGCACGATAATGCATTTCCCCATACCAGCAAAGTGGCTAGAGAATGTCTTGAAGCGAAAGGTGTCACAGTTTTAGACTGGCCTGCATATACACCAGACCTAAATCCTATAGAACAACACTTGTAGGACCAGCTCAAAAGAAGGGTTAGAGCTCATTGAAACAATGCAAGAAATGTCTTACATATTATTGATGCAGCATTAGCAAAATAGGAAAAGATACCCCTAGACAATGTTGACAATTTAATAAGAATCATGTCAAGGCAAATAGAAGCCTGCATAAGGGCTAGAGGTGGTAACACGGATTGTTAAACTTACCAATTTAATTTTTGTTTTTGCTTTTTGGCTATTAAAAATTAAAATTTCATTTCTTTTCGGAAACCAAAAAAATACCATTGAGTTTATTTTGTCAACTAATTGATTATTTTTATTGCCATGTGGGTTATTTGTCATTAAAAGCCTTTGATAAGGACTGAGTGTTATTTATAAACAGAAAATGTTCATGCATCTCAAAAATTATGAAAAATAATAGATGATTTCATATAAGTTTGGTTGTGTGTACTTATTGCAATAACCAACCACACTAGCTGTAACTTTTATCATGAAATATGTAGCAGAACTAGTGTAAACGATTTATATATTTATTTCTTTAAAGCAGTGTAATTATCTCCCTACATAGGTTGGTGACATTAATATCAAGTAATTTCTGTCATGATGTAAACAGTCAGTGCGATTATGTGTCAGATATTAGATATTTATGTCGTGAAAGAAGCGTCAGATGTAAACGTACCTTTAATTACATAAGTTTAACATAATTATTTCACCAATAAGTGACAGAAACGAGCATTATTTCAAGCGTATCTTAAACCATAAAGAATGTTTTGAGGATATCAATCGAGTGCTTGGCGACAAGTCGTGTTTCTTCGCTACGGTAAAGCGGTGGTACAAAGAATTTCAACTTGGTTAAATTAAAATTTCCATTTTGGAGCTATTGATTCAAAAACGGAAGTAACAAAAAAAAATGTTGATCCAATTCGGATCATGATTAAATAGAGCTGGCGCATTACTGTTAAAAAACCTTCAAGTAACTTTAAAGATTAGTGTAAAAGCAATTAACACTATTTTTCACAAACATTTGAAAGTCTGTAAGCTTTGTTCATGGTGGATTTCCCACAACATGATTTTAGTTTGACTGTGGATCGTCTTATTTGGTGTACAATATCATCACAGGTGATCAAACATGGATGTACTGCTATGATCTCGAAAAAAGCAACAATCGATAGGTTGGGTCCTTGAGGATGAGTGAAAAATGCAGAAATAAAATGGGGCGTTACTTTTTTTGAAACACTAGACATGTTTCTATTGTAGCACTGGAGGATTGTTAATTCAGAATGGTACGCGAAAATGTCCAAGAAGAAGAATCATCTTGTATCAAAATAACGATCGGATTAGCACTGCTGCTTCAAACAATGAGTATTTTAATGCCCAAAACAGAAATAATGATCATTCGCCCTATAATCCAGACCTAGCACCTAATGACTTCTTATTTCTGCGGATAAAAGATAAATTACGATGTTTAGGTTTTTCATCGACCGAAAAAACGGTTAATGCTTTTAAAAATAAAATAAAGGGGGAGGACGTTAAACATTGTAGGATGTTCTAATTAAAATACACTCACAATTTTGGTTCAAAAAAGTTTTTTTTTGCACTTTCCATGTGTCAACAATATAAACAAAAACATAAGGTATATTTATGAAGCCTAATGAAAACTGTATTTCAAAATATTTGTTTGTTCTCTACTTATAAGTAGTTGTTAAATTATGTCAATTTATAGATGGACACCTTGTATTTTCGTTACTAAAGTATTGACTTGAAATTTGGTAGAGTTATATTTTGGAGCTAAGTCATAAACATATCAAAATATGAAATTAGACAAAGAGGGATGGAAAAACAACTAACAATTTTTTTATTCTTCACATGATCAACCTTTTGTAATTTAACTATAAAATTCATTCCTAATCACCTTTCATTAAATATGAAATATCAATTAAAATAAGAAGTAAGCAAGAAAAAAACAGAAAAGATTCTATAAATAGAGGGACAAAAATATTAATAATTTTATATCACCACTTGTGAATTTATGTACTTATTTATGAATACCACTCTTACTTCGTGGTTTTCCTTTCCCTGTTGCATTTTTTATTTTGCAAATAAACATTACTATTATTAAAAGAAAACAAAAATGAATTATTAACATTTTTTAATCATTTTCGATACTCACTTAAATCTTTATATGGTATCAGCGTTGTAGGCGACTTATTTGTCTTAGTCTTTCTTTTCATCTTCAGGGTCTTTTAGCGTATGCCATTGTGCTATCGGCCTACGTGGTGAGGCCAACATGTCCGACCAGTGACGGAGTTCAGTACCGCTAGCATTGTAGCCTAAAACAACCTTGCCGATGGGTTCTGATGTTCCAATTCTATCGTAGTCTACAACCGTTACCACCAAATTCACTTTCTATGAAAAAAATATATTTATGGTAAGTGAAAACTCGTCTTTAAATAAATTTATTTAGATATGCTTAGGGGAAGGTTTGGAAAGATCGACCACATAAGAAAAAAACTGATTTAGAAAGAAAGGAATGTATATTTTTATTGATTCAACATTAGTAAAGGCATAAAAAAACACTAAAAACTGTTTAACAAACATAAGCAAATAAACACATTTCTGATTATACTAATGATTGATATTATCTTTGACTTACTGGTAAGGAAATCCCGGAAAACCTCACCTATCATTGCTTTTACTCTGTTCTTCAAGAAGAGTGCGTTATTTTTCTATAATACTGAAGAAGCATCGTTATTTCATAAAATAAATTTGTCCACGACCACTTATAATAAATCAATATTCTACCTCCTAAGAGCATATGGTATCCATATATCACTAAAGTGAATTATAATAATTCACGTTTTTGTAATTCTGGCACATTCCGGTAGGTGACTAGAGATGGACGATGCTCTTCATAACGATATTTTCAAAAGTGCACTTCAGATTTTGTGATTTATCACCTGAGTTATCACATGATTTTGTTATACATATTTTAGTCATATGTAGAATTAAAATCATACCATTTTCATGTGATAAAATCATATGATAAATCACATAATCTGAAGTGCACTTAATATTAATTTTAAATATTATATCGATACGGTGAATCGATACTTTAGAGAGTATCGCCCATCTCTATAGGTGTCACGGATTATTTGACTTTGACGTACAGTCCTGTCCTGAAATTTATTAATTTTGAATTTTGAGGTTAGAATCAAATATTAAATGCTGATAATCGAACTTGCTCGCGATGAATTCGGATAGTGATGATGAACAGAAGCGGCGAAATTAACCAGTATTGAACTGCTGCCAGAAACATCTAAAGATAATTACATGTCTACATATTACAGCTTTAATCTAATAAGTTTGATTTTAAATCCTTGCCTCGAAAATTGTTTCGGTATTAACGTAACTATTAATGCAAATAAGTAATGATAAATACCTAGTTATTTATGCTGTTATCTTGTAAGTTAAGCATTCCTTTGTTAAATAACAGTTAGTTACCTATGTTAAATAAAAACTTTCCCTTCTACACTTTTTATTTAATAAAGAAATCATAATGGTTGTGGACAAAGTATAGTATTACACTCGCAATTTATAACCATTTTTCACTCGGGTGACTTGCGCCTCTCGCCTACGATTCGGGACGCAAACCATAAATTGCTCGTTTAATAATATACTAAAAATTAGTTTACGCGTAAAATAAAATTCATATTCGTAAAAATCACGGGTAAGATCGTTCAATCTGGCGGGATATATATCATCGATTTTATTGGATTATAACCGAATTCCCGAATAGAACATATTTGGAACTTTACCTAACTTTAGATTAAAAGGAATACAAATAGGTCTCGATTATAGATAGAATAGACGTCTACTTTTATATCAACATATTGTGTTCCAAAAAGTTTTATAACACATAAGAAAAAGTTATATTTCATAAAAACAAATATTCTTGCTTCTAATTCTGCATCACTTAGAAATTCATTATCAAACATATTTTGTAAAATATAGGTGGTATACAGGAAAAATAGAAATGGAGGTATTTTTGGAAGTTATTGAATACTTAAAATTAAGACAAAAGTAATAATACTCGATTATTGATTCCCAAGTAGTGATGCAAAACTTTTAATCAAGAAATTTTTTTTTTTAACAAAACTATTTCTCATGTATATGAAACATTTTGGAACACACTATATGTAATGGATTGCAACGTGCTCTTTAGAGTACGTTATTAACAACATCTAACTAGAACGTAGCAATCCATTAAAAAGTGTGTTCCACAAAGTTTTGTAAACATAAAAGAACGTTTCGATTAAAAAAAGAACAAATATTCTTGATAAAATGTTTTGCATCACCTTAGAATCCATATTCAAACATAAAATTTTGTAAAATATACCTATACAGGGAAAATAAATATAAAATTCTTTTAAATTTCAATATAGATTAAAATAATAATTAAAATATTGATAGGTATAGTCCATCCAAACAATAAGTCAACTATAAAGGAATTCCGCAAACGCAAAAAAAGTTCGGCACCTGTTTGAATAATTCGAAAAAAAATTGGTATAGGGAACGTGTTGCTTGTCGGAAGTCAGCTAAACTAACTCTTTAATAGACCGCCCATAGACGGAGATATATGTTTTTACTTAATAATTTAATTATATGTACGTATTATGTTTCTTTCGATTTGAAGATTTAAAATAGTAATTTTTTATATACATATATACCTAATTAGAATAAAATAAGTAATATTTATAACTGATGTTTTCCTTCAACGATTTCAGTGTTTTTGATAAAATTTTGCATTTTTTCTCCAAGAAGCGTGAATAGCTTTGTCGGTATACTGCCTCTATAAGTATATTGTTTTTGGCGGTGTATCGCCTTTGACGGCTATTGCCTTCGTCGGCATATTGTCTTTGTCGGCATATTGTCTTTGTCCATTTAAAGAGCCGAACCAATGCCGAAAAGGAAAATGGAACGTATTTGAATAAAAATAATTATTTTTACTTTCAGTGGAGTTTTGTTCATCTTAGTGACCTGTTGAGTTTTGTACGGATAACAGCTCCTGCATCGTACTTTTTAAAATTTTATAGAATATTAGTTTCTGTTTTATTAGTGTTTAGTTTCGTTTTATCAATAATCAGTTTGTGTTTTGGAGGTTATATAGTAATTTTAATAAACGAATAATAATTTTTGTGTATGTGTTATTAACTATGTGGAGACCGTGGGATAGTATTCCGAGCACCAGTACATCAAACAGTGATGGAGAAACTAATGCAGTGCCTACGCAAATAAAAAATGAACTCTTTTTAAATGAACAGTCCCAGCAAATTTGTTTAAATGTTTATAAAAATTTGTTAAAACGTGGATATATTGAAAACACTTCTACCGTGCAAGAAGCAGCGTTTCTTACTGGTATATCGGTTTATAAAATAAACCAAATTATAAAAAATGGAATTTCCAGCAGAAAAGTCCGTGAAGACAAAGGTGTGCAAAAAAAATTAGATCCATCCATGGCCAAATCCATTGTGAATACAGTGTATGAACTTTATAAACAAAATACCATTCCCACTCTTGATATTATACATAAACGCTTAAGTGAAACTTATTTCGATACAAATATAAAAAAGTCTACATTGTATAATTGGCTAAAAAAAATCGGTTTTAAATACAAAACGATAGATAAAAGAAGCGCAGTGATGGAAACAAGACGAATAGTAAACTGGAGAAATTCTTATTTACAGAAAATTCGTGAATATAAAAATGAAAGCAGGCCAATTTATTTTCTGGATGAAACGTGGTATGATTCGCATGATACGATAATAAATATTGCCAAGCCTTAGGTATCCCTCCAAATAAAGGCACTCGACTGATAATATTAAACTGTGGCTCAGAGGACGGTTGGGTTGACAATGCCTTACTATTAATTGGAAAAAAAATTGATAGCTGCCAGATTGATTACCATTCAAATATGAATTCCGATATTTTTGAAGAATGGTTTACGAAATTCACTGTTGCCTAATTTAAAGCCAAAAAGTGTAATAGTTATGGACAATGCTTCATATCACTCCAGGCTTAAGGAAAAAATACCTAATAAAAACTCTAAGAAAGATGAAATTCAAGAATTTTTAATGAATCACGATTTGTATTTTGATGAAAAATATAAAAAAGATGAACTTTTGGAAGTCCTAAAAACTAAAAATTTTGAAAAAAAGTATTTAGTTGATGAAATTGCAGCTGAAAGAGGTCATACAGTTTTAAGGTTACCACCATATTTTTGTATTTTCAATCCTATAGAGTTACTCTGGAGCCAATTGAAACAAAATATTCGGAGAAAAAATATATTTCCCAAATTTGATTCTCAGGTCGTCAACTTGATCAAAGAACAAATGGATGCGATCGGAAAGTCGCAGTGGGAAGCAGTTATAAAACATGTGTATGAAATAGAAGAGGAATACAGGAACAACAGCGGCATACACGTAAATAATGGAGAACGATTTATCATAAATCTCAATGAGGATGACGACGACGATGATATAATTAGTGATAACGAGGAGAAGGAAGACGAGGAGCAGGAATTTGGAAACAATGAGAAAATCTGAGTTAAATCAGCAATATGTAAGTCACATTTTATTTTATAAGTCGGTCTATGTTTAGGTTATTTCTACATTTACTTTGTAATTTTAATTTTAAAATATTTTTTATAACTAAATTATTAAAATGTTGACGTTCGTATTCGTTTACTAATCGAGAAGTCACTTGGGAAGTAACCCAACCAGTAGAGATATGTTTGCAATATAACCAATTAAGGGGTCTATTCTGTAACAATTCCTTTATATTTAACGGCCTTTAAAAATATTGGCGGCCTATAAAAATATGTTCGTATTCGTTAATTTACTTCTGTCATCATTTAAACAGATTTCTTTAAGATAGTCCTCTAGTGTATTTTAAAGATCCGTTTAAATAATGACAGAAGTAAAGAAGAAAATATTTTTAAAGACCGTTAAATATAAAGGAATTGTTACAGAATAGACCCCTAAGTCAATTATTTCCTACCTATTTATATCTATAAGAAGGTAGGTATGTCATGCAGAATTGATATAAAATAAGAGAAACCTTTATTTCGTAAGAATTGGAAATGCATTAATTAAAATATTTATTCCAGAGACGGCATTTTATTTTTCTGAAAACAATTATATACCGACAGTCGATAATTTCAATAGACACTTTGCATTTGGTATATATTTATATCAGTTTTTAATTTTGTATCATATACTTGGAACGCAGTACCTATATTTCTACTTGTAGGTATATTGTTCATAATCGAATCCTCAAATTGATTGATTATTAATCTATTTTTCGCTTTGTAAAATTATTTATTACATCTATTTTATATAATAAATCGT